AAAGGAGATATTCATCAGGGTCCCAAACAAGAGGTTCACCAAGGATTGAACCATGGGGAGGGGGGAATTGTGTCTCTCACAATTGGATCCTTAGCTTTGGGGGTACCAGTCCAAACTGGGTCTCAGCTGGATCCATCATGATCTTCAACCCTCTGATCTCCAGGAAACCAGTCTTGGTTCCCATTCAAATTAAGTATTCACTCCTAGAGGGGAAATAGCATGGAGATCACGTGGTCCCCTTGACAGCAGAGAGGTCAAGGACCTGTATAGTACTAACTGGAAAAGTAAGCTAAAAAGTAGGGAATTGCTTCTATGCCACTTCCTTGGTTACAAGCACTGAGATGTTGCAGTGGAATGAGAGACAGGAGGAAAGGTAAAATGTGGATTATGTATGAAGTTATAGGCACCTCAACTTGTGAAAGTCAATCCCAGTTCCAACAGAAATTATCCTCCAGCAGCCTAGACAGTGCGCAGGGCGGAATGAGCATTCACTAAATACAATGTGAAGATGATGGTCACCATTCTTGGTCTCTTTCTTTTCCCCTTGGCTACAGGGCTTCAGAGATGTGTGCAGATGCAAGCGACCAGTGCCCAGAAAGAAGACTGAAGGAGTGGGTGGGGGCACCTTCTCCCCACCCTGGAGACCCCCCACCCCACCCCCGATCCTACAGACCCACATAGTCAGGCTTGGGAGATTGGAAGGGTTTCACTTCCGCCTGGCTGCAGGAACCACAAGTTACAGACTAGGTCTGAAATGGAATAATCACAGTCAAAATACACCCAGATGCTCTCACACACCCAGACGCGCGCGCATCCCCGGGCCATGGGGCGCACGTGAGCCCACACCCCGCGCACCCAGCCCTGCCTCTCCACAGAGCATCCTTAGCAGCTGCCACAGAAGCAGCCTCCTCCTCCTCCTCCTCCTCCCGCCGCCGCGCCACCGCCGCCGTTGTGATCTCCCATCCCCTCTCATCCTCCTTCCTCCTCTAGTTCCTGCTCCTCCTCCTATCCCCGGCTCCTCCTGCCCAGCGGCGAAGGGCAGAACCCTCGGCAGCCGCTCGCCTTCGTTCGGGCCACGAAGACGCTGGAACAGGTCTGTGCAGGGGACGCTTTGTTGCGGGCTGCTGGAGCTCTGGTGGCCCCAAAAGCCGCTGGGAGGGCACGGGGCGAAAGAGAGGGCAGATTATTTCTCAGTTTTCAGTCCCGCTGAATAGATGGGGGGTGGGGGGCGCGATAGGGTGGGAAAGCAGTGGGATCCCTCTGCCAGTTCGCCGTCCCTCTTGGTTCATGGCGAGGGAGCGCTGAAGCTGCCCGGACTTCTGCCCCCGCCCACCCCTACAGCTCTCTTTCTTTGCGTCCCCACTCCCTGCATCCACTTCCCAGGGCTGAGCTTTCTCTTGTTCTGGGAGCTCGCGATGGGGGCGGGGAGAGATGGATGGAGTTGATCCAGCGGGGCACCTGGGTGCACGGGGCTTTGTTACACACACACACACACACACACACACACACCCAGTCCTCCCCAGCTTCAAGCTCCAGGCTAGGCTGCAGTATGCCGGCGGTGTGGGGTGTGGGCCGGCACACTAGGGAAGTGAGAGAATGTGAGGGGGCACTCCCTGTGTGTTACTGGGCACACAGGAATGCAGTGTTGTGTGTCGGGGAGATAGCTTAGGGTTTGTGTAAGATTCGGTGACTGCAAGTTGAAGTGGGATGTGTGTGTGTGTGTGTGTGTGTGCGCTGCATGGGGCTGGGCTACTCTTCGCATTACATGTCCTTGGGTCTCATCCCATGCCAAGCCAGACTGCAGCAACACGCAGGTGGATCAGGTCCAACCTGTTCTGCCCACATAGGAAGGGTAATGATGGTTTCAAAGTGATGGAAATCCCCCCAGCTGGGGCTGTTTCTTAGGACTTTCTGGGTGTGAAATTTTGAGCCAGGTTGACCAAGCCCTACTAGACATTGTTATTGTTCTCCCAAAGATGCCCAACTTTCTTAGCAGGTTTTCCTCTCTCAGCCAATGAGGATTCAAAGCTCCCACAGTGATCCCTGCAGTGCTTCCCCACAACCCCCTTTAATTAGTGGGTTTTCATCCCATGTCTTCCTTAATGCAGTGAAGTTAGTGGTGTGCTGGGATGTAGCTGTGTGTTTGAAGAAAAAGAGTAAACCAAATGTATGTATTAGCCATGGATTTGATGTAGAGGTGTTTTGATTTTCCTTGAACCAGAAGGTGTGAACTGGTATGGTCATTTTGCTTTTATATTTTAAAAAATCAATAAAAATGAACCAAACTACTAAACCTTCTCTTTGATGTTTCTCTGTCTGTGGTTTTAATAAAGCATTGTTTTGGGGGGTCCAAAACTATACAGTTATGAAGAATTGTTAGTGAAACAGCTGACATTTATGGCATACCTGCTATGTGTTAGTAGTAATGTTAGGCATGGGAAGTAGAGAAATGAATAAAACATCATCTCAGCGCTCAGGGATTGCACAGTCTGGTAGGCAAGATAGAGCTAGTAAACAGACAATTAGAGTAGAGTATGACAAGGGGCAGGCAGGTACTGTGAAAGCATGGGGGGAGGGGTGCTTTCTTGGGGTAGCGGCTGTGAGCAAGAAAGGCTTCATGGGCAACGTGACATTTGAGTCCAGTCTTGAATTAATTCACTAGGTTGCTAAGTGGAGAACAGTATTCTAAGTTCAAGGGACAGCAGGTATGAAAGCAGAGAGGTCCATAGTTAAGACTGCAGGGAGTCTTTGGAAGGGTGATGTTTAAATTCTCAACAAACTCGGATTGAGTTTCTCTAGACTGGAATGGTGATTAATGGTAAATCCAAAAAGCCAGTATTGCAGATTGATATGGATCAGAATATATCCCTATCTTAAGAAATGTCTGGCTCATGTAGTAATATTAGTGTGTTTTGCTTTTTTTTTTTTTTGCAGTTTTGGCCGGGGCTGGGCCCAAACCCGCCACCTCCAGTATATGGGGCAGGTGCCCCACTCCTTTGAGCCACAGGCGCCACCCAAGTGTGTTTTGCTTTAAGAAAATCTGATATATGTAATTGTGAGTCTGTAAGGCAAATGAACTAAATGGACAGAATTCATACTGATGAATTTGTTGCTTTACAAAAGGATTTACAATCTGATCTTCTTAATTAACAGTGCCTCTCTGACCTTTACAGGGCATTTTTAAAATCAAAAATCATTTATACAGGCTCTGCGCCTGTGGCTCAAGTGGCTAAGGCACCAGCCACATACACCTGAGCGGGCAGGTTCGAATCCAGCCTGGGTCCGCCAAACCACAATGATGGCTGCAACCAAAATTTAGCTGGGTGTTGTGGTGGGTGCCTGAGTCCTAGCTACTTAGGAGGTGGAGGCAGGAGAATCACTTGAGCCCAGGAGTTGGAAGTTGCTGTGAACTGTGATGCCACAGCACTCTACGCAGGGTGACAGCTTGAGGTTCTGTCTCAAAAAAAAAAAATCATTTATACAGAATTTTTCACCTAGCCGATATATGGTAAAGACAGGTATACCTGCCTGTCATTTACTTTTTGCACAAAAAAGTTACCAATTCCAATGCAGGCATTTTCTCTCATGGTGTGCGTGTTTAATCAATATGAAATATGAAAATAACAGTAATAAACATTAAATCCATTGGCTGTGATCTTTTTATCATTCAAATTGTGTATAAAATACAAATTAACGAGGACAGGCTCTTCAGGGACTCTTACATTTTAGGTACTTTTAGTAGTGCCACTGGTAATTAACAATAGCACAAGATTTTCATGCTGCAGTCTAGTGTTTAAATGGATATATAATGACTACTCTAATCTTCATGCAATTAAGCCAGAACAGGGGCACATTCCGAGTCTCCTATTTGGTTGTGTTCATGCTGATTGCAGACATAGGTTGATGAATGGCACTGGGAGTGAGACGAAGAGATTGATGATTTATACTGGAAGTGCCTGGTGGGCGCAAAATTATGCTAGTTAAGAGTATTAGCTCTGAGAACATGGATCAGCATCCTGAGCACCCCCTACCTTAAATGAAGACCCCAGATAGCCCTGGGTTTATTTGAAAGAAACGTCAGCGGAAGTGGGTGGGCTTCGATTGGCTTCCCTCCTAGTCTGGCCAATGCCCTGTTGCAGAGATGATGGCCTAGGGTCCTTTGGGCCCATCAAAGTCCTTTGTTCACAGGTTGCCAATACCAGATGGTATCAGGCAATATCTCTAAGATATATTCCCCACAGCTTGGGCTAAAATGGAATTGATCTGTCTGCTGTGCTGATAATCAGATCGGTCCAGTGGCTAGAGCAGTGAATTCTGATGTGGGCTCCAAAAAAGGACTATTTCTACAGTATTTTAGTGCCTCTCTCTTTCTCTCTCTCTCTCTCTCTCTCTCACACACACACACACACACACACACAGAGTTTTGTGGCTAAGTTTGAGAAATTCTTTCTTAAACAGAAATGGCTTGTTTATTACCGGGCTTCTAAACTTCTTTACTAGGCTAATGTATATTGTGACTCTCCAGGAGGATAAAATATGCGGCATTTCTCAGATGTATTTGCCCACAGAACCTGATATTTCAATAAGCATTTGGCTAGACTTGTGTTGAGAGAAACAGCTTTTGGGCAATGCTGGACTAGAGCATTCTCTGCTGAATCTGGAGTTCAGAGGGTGTCAGCATCTTGCTGGGTAATCTTGAATGACAGGCTTTACCCCTTCAGGCTTTTCCTTCCTTCCCCCATCTGTAAAGTGAGGCTGATAATAATCATGCTCTTACTGTGATAGTGTGATGACAACTAAGACAATATCTCTTCAAGTACTTTGAGGTCCTTAGAAGAAAGGTTCTATATAAACTCTAGGTTGTTATGACAGGGAAGTGAAGAATTAAGGTAATTATCCTGATAACTCCAGGCCCCAATCCTGTTTTTCTGCTGACTTATCGCACAGACTGCCTCCGTTTTCTCCTCTGCTTTGACGGCAAAGACCTATCCTCATTCAACCTTGAGTGACTCAGTTCTCTGGGCTTATTTCCTTTCACATCCTGAAACTTTCAGTGTGGCCTTTAATTTCCTGGCCCAGAGGTATCATCAGTATAACCTTTAGAAAAAGCCCATCAATCTGAACACACCCTGCTGACCAGAGAACCCTGGAGGTGGGAATTAAGTTGAGTTGGAAAGTTGTTTTTCTCCTTCAGACTCATTATCTTTCAGAAGCAGTTCTAAAGCGCCATCTTGGAAGCTAGCTGTGGCAGGGTTCATCTCCAGTGGCCCCGGTGCCTGATTTGGGCTGGAGTGCTATTTTGTTTGCAAGGCAGGCTGGGAACAAGATGGGAACATCACTTTTAGGGGGTTCATTTCATCAATGGGAAACTCCCATTTGGTAGTAAGACTCACGGGAAAGCAAGCAAACGGGAGGGGGCAGGAGGGGAAAAGTGAATTTATCCCTAAGGGTACAGTACACATTGTTTGGGTCTGGCATTCATCACTTTAATTCCAACTGTACAAAAAATGTATGCAACCAAAATATTTGTACCCCTGTAATATTCTGAAACAAAAAATAAATGAATAAATAAAACAAACAAAAAATAAAGGCAATGGAAATAGCACTCACGTGATTATTGACCCTTCTTGGCTCCCTTGACTCCTATTAATTCCCTTGACCTCTTTCTTTACAAACACCCTTGAAAAGAGAATGGCACTCTTGTGACTTAATGGCTAATAATCATTGTAAATTGGCTTTTGGGGTAGAGACTGATATGCAGGGATTGCAGTTACTGGTTCTAGAGTGTTCTATACACAAGTCAGCTCGGAAAAAAGAGCTAACAAATGCATCAAGCTCTGGTTACAGTAGGAAGGATTTCTGTTAGCCACAAGAGAGAACCGTGTGACTTTAAGACTGTGTGGTGCTGGGATGTGAGTGTGAAGAAGTTCTTCTCTCTTCTGGAGAGCTTAAGAAATGCCTCCCCTGGAGGGGAGATTCATAGAATGGCAGGTCTGCCAGTTCTTTAGAAGTTCCTCTGGGGTAAATTTTCTGTTTGGATGAGGAAATTGAGAACCAGAGAAGTGAAGCGAGTAGCCCAAGGTCACACAGCTG